AGAGCAAAATATAACTTTTATTTTTGAATATGAGCGCTGAAGTATGATAATTTAAATTATGTATAATAAAATTCATTTTTCTATATCGAATATAAATTTTGATGGAAGAAGTGAAGCCCTTCACCCAACAAGCCACTCGTAAACTATTAAGTTACATATAGTTGCTTGAGAAGTTGTAATGCTAATATTAATATCAGTGTTGTGTTTTGGAACATTTATGATGGTAGAGAGATATAAGGTTTAGCGTCTTAATTTTATACAAAGATTCATTATACATAAAAATAAAAGAGAGAAGTGCAAGAGTCATAAGAGACTAAGTTTTTTTACGTGGAAAATCATGAAAAGGGAAAATTTTATGAGGTATAACCCAATTAATATGATACTACTAGTGTTTTTAGTGGATTACAAATGATGTCCTTCGTTGAGGAAAGGCCTTGGCTCTATTTAGTAAATATATATATCATATAGAGTACATTATATGGTGAGAGTTTGAAGAATCCCGTGATACGAGAGTAGTTCTCAAAGGAATGTTGGCATGTTTGTTTGATCGGTAGGACTGCAGTCAGGTGACGGTAGGACTGTAGTCGGGTGACAGAGGTCGAAGGAACTATAGTCGGGCAACGAAGGCTTTAGAGATCATAGTTGGGAGACTAAGGTCGAGGGGACTAATGTATGATGACAAAGGTTGGGTGGACCGTAGTCGATGGGTGATGGTGGTTGGAGTAATCGTAATTGGTGGGCGATAGAGGTAGGTGGGACCATAGTCGACGGATGATCAAGCTCAGAGAGACGGTATTCACCGGGTAACGGAGGTCAAACGAACCATAATTGGCGGGTGACGGTGGTCGGAGACACTATAGTGGGCAAGCGACAAAGGTCGGAGGTGTAACAACCCAAATTCTTAATTATCGAGATATTATCCTATTTGGATTAAGATTCTTACGGTTTTATCATATTTGTGTAATTTCCCAGGAGTTCACTCATCCCAGGATTTCTCAGTGATGAACATTCTTAATTGTAAAATTTCTTAATGAAATTCCAACCATTACACAAAAGGCGACTCGATGTAAAAGAGTTTATCTTATTTTACTTACGAGGTTTCACAATCTCCCCCTCTTAAGTAACCGACATCATCGTCTTTAAATAAATGAGAGTTTCAAACTTTCAATCATAAAATCTACAAAATTGATTTAATTAATTTCACTTCTAACATTAATGATAATCAAATTATAACAAATATTGGTTCAAATATTATTTTTATTTATAATAATAGTGATGAAAAAATATTAGTATGAGATATAAAATTTGAAACTCACCATAACAATTTTTTTTTAAATTAATCGTTCATTTTTGCAAAAAAAAAAAAAAAAATTTTATTTCAAAATTAAGGATATTAATGGAGAAATAACCCATGATAACAAGCCTCACAAATATAGTTAAGCATTTTCTTGGCAAACTTCTAAAAGACTTGCTACAAAATTTATGTACACATTTATGTGGAGTTTGAAGGTGAATTAAGGCCTAATAACACCTAAAATCAATGATGACTCATAGCACTTAATCAAATATGCAATTTCTAATTAAATCCATAAACTCATTTACGCTTAAGGCTTCATTTGAAACGACTTTTTGATTGCTTCTAAAACAGAGTTTCGTTTTAAGAAGCAATAAAAAAACCGTCCCAAAAGAAGCCTAAATCATTTAGGTAAGATACATAATTAGACATTCTCAATCATGGCTAAAACTTGTTAAAAATCATAATAAATAAGCTTAAACAAGATTTTAACATTCTGATTTAAAAGCTCAGTTGGTCA